GTAGGCTATTATTATTGTTAATTCTCAAACACATTATCACCTTGGAATTATAAGGTTCTATCTGCGTTCTGAATGATTTTGAGATATTGAGTTTTTGCAATCCATATAGCAAACAGTATGTGTGCAACATTTTTTTTAAGTCTTAAAATGTAAACAATAAGTTGTCATTTAATAAGAATATGTCAATAACTAAATTTTGACAAAAATTAACCTTAAAATTCTAAAGCGATGATATGGTAAAACAACACTAATAATATTAGGCCTATGTGTAGCTCTGCTGTTTCTTAAAATGTTAAATTTTGTACAGTCATTATGGTGGACTTGAACAGACTTTCAACTGTCCTGTTTGTTAATTCATAGTAAAATGATGACATCAGAATACAACTATTCATAATTATAAAGTTGAATTATTATGTTTAAGACATGCGCTTGTCATTTGTCATTGTCAGCATTATTAGATCATTTGTTTTCACTGGTAAAATCAGACATTTTTGCATTATATTCAACATTATATGAGCTAGAGTAGCTACACTGACACTGTAAAACATTTCTTTCCATGCACAACACTGTGTTAGCTATGAAAGAAAGAAAAAAACATATCAAATGCTTGTCGTAATTATAACTGTACAACGCATTATGATCATTTAAATGATGTGCGCACAGGTTTCACTTTCACTTCCCAGTGCGACTCATGGCTGCCGTCACTGTGATAAAACATACACACACATGCAAATATCATTCTTTCAGCGTGCAAACTGAACGTTATTTATAACTTCATAACTTGTTATTCACAGCATATGCAAGTTCTGTTCACTGAAGTAGCCGTCATTGGAGTGCTACGTGCACGCGCGCGCATTCTCGGTAGCTCGTGGTCAGCTCACGTGTGATTTTGTGGCCGCAAATAAATGATTACGTGAGACAGAAAAGACATTTCTGGGTGAATTATACCTTATAAATACAGTATGTGAAGGTGTTCATGTTCTTGTGAGGACCTGTGCGGCCGTCTTTAAGCTTCTCTCCAGTGGCGTAGCGCAAAATGCGGAGGCCCCCCTGCAGGGATCGCTGACGGGGCCCCCTGTTGAAGTGGAGGGGAGGGATACGTCATACGTCAATTTGCATATCACTGACGTCATCACATTCTACCGTTTCTGTTTGTTTAACAGCCTATGGTTACTAAAGGGGTATTTATAATTGCACTACACTTTATATAAGCATGTTTATTTAACAAAATGTATTGCTGTTTGAATACAGTACGTCATTATAGATGTGTAGTGAATGTGCAGTAATCTCTCATATGTAATAAACTCAAAATTAAAATATCTGTGATTGTGAACAAGAAAAGAATAAACGGTCCAATTAAATTGTTAAAATAAAGGAGAAGCAGATCGGTTTGACTGTACAAGGGAAATACCTTCACACTGCCTGTGCTAAATCATTTGTCGTCGGTACGCAGAGAGGTGATCTGCTCTCGGGCTGCAGGTGGGAGAGGCTGCTGTACGAGGACTGACTGGGCTGCCTGTCAGTGCTGTGAGGCGGGGGAGGGGTTGGCGGCATCACACGCAGCTCGTTGAGAAGAGTAGGGACGGTACAGTATGGACAAATGACAGTCTAAAAAAAAACTCCAATAACACACAAAAAAGTCGCTACATTTGTCGCTAGGGGGGTCTGAAAAGTCGCTAAATCTAGTGACAAAGTCGCTAAGTTGGCAACATTGGCGGCAAGCAATCAGAATGAAGTAGTCCACCGCTTGAGAGGTGTTCAGAGAACACAGACCTGTGAACTTTGGTTCTGACCACAGTTGTTCCCAAGAGTTTGATTATTGCGGTTGCCGGATTTTCAATTATTGAAAATCGCGACAACGCGGGGCCCCCTAATCACGCCAGGCCTGTCCGCTACGCCACTGCTTCTGTCCTGACCTTGAAAATATAATTGGCTGAATCGTAGAAAAGCTGAATTAAGATTGTGTGTAGGGTCAAATCGAGATTGTGATCTTTTTTCGATTAATCATGCAGCCCTAATGTTAATGTTGTTTTTGGTGTGTTTACATAGATAAATATGGCCACTGTGTAAATGCACAGTACAGTTACGAGCTTGTTGCCACATATGATCATTATGATAACATAATATATTTCTTCAGTGATTACCTGAAGATTAATACCAAAAATTAGCACAACGGAAATCACTACAGCAGTCGCAGTCATCGGATCTCACATGAAGCATGAAATCACGATGACATATGATGACGTGTGCAGATGCTGTAGAGGGATCCCAATTCTTAGGGGTAAATTTTGAAGCCCTTCCCCTTAACCCTCGGTTGTAAGGGCCAAGGGGAAGGGGTAGGGATATAAAAATAGAATTGGGATTGGGCCTTTATTGTGCGCGTACTTGAAAATTATGCATGCCTGTTTATTTACTTGATGTGTGTAACAAAAAACAGCAATTTTATGAACTAATATGGAAATGTTTGTATGATTTTTTTACAATACAATATTATAATACTATTATACTAATACAATAATAATAATAATAATAATAATAATAATATAATAAAGTACTATTTTAGAACATATATTTTATGAGAGACTTGCTTTGTTTACCAAAAAAGTGGAACAAAATTTGCATTCCAAATCTTAATTGAAAGTTTAAAAGTGATTATTTCTTTTATATTTTAAGTTTAGATTTAATATAATCCCAAAATCATTCAACATAAATCCACAGATTTTTTTTTTCTTCTAAATTCTAAATTCTGGCACCTGGCAGATTCTGGCACCTCTCCTGTTCAACCTTTACATGCTCCCTCTGAGCCAAATAATGAGAAAGAACCGAATCTCCTACCACAGCTATGCTGATGACACTCAGATCTACCTAGCCTTACTGCCTAACGACTACAGCCCCATTGACACCCTCTGCCAATGCATTGATGAAATGAGCAATTGGATGTGCCAAAACTTTCTTCAGTTAAACAAAGAGAAAACTGAAATGATTGTGTTTGGAAACAAAGATGAGGTTCTCAAGGTAAATGCGTACCTTGGCACTAAAGGTCAAACGACAAAAAAAAAGGTCAAGAATCTTGGTGTGACTCTGGAGTCAGATCTGAGTTTCAACAGTCATGTCAAAGCAGTCAGTAAATCAGCATACTATCATCTCAAAAACATAGCAAGAATCAGATGCTTTGTTTCTAGTGAAGATTTAGAAAAACTTGTTCATGCTTTTATCAGCAGCAGGGTGGATTACTGTAATGGACTCCTCACTGGTCTTCCTAAAAAGACAGTCAGACAGTTACAGCTCATCCAGAATGCTGCAGCCAGAATTCTAACCAGAACCAGAAAATCAGAGCACATCACACCTGTCCTCAGGTCTCTACACTGGCTCCCAGTTACATTCAGAATAGATTTTAAAGTATTATTACTGCTCTATAAATCACTAAATGGCCTAGGACCTAAATACATTACAGATATGCTCACTGAATACAAACCTAACAGATCACTCAGATCATTAGGATCATATAAACTAGAAGTTCCAAGAGTTCAGTCAAAGCAGGGTGAATCGGCTTTTAGCCACTATGCCCCTCGCTGCTGGAATCAGCTTCCAGAAATGATCAGATGTGCTCCAACATTAGGTACATTCAAATCAAAACTGAAAACACATCTGTTTAGCTGTGCCTTTACTGAATGAGCACTGTGCTGCATCCGACAGATTGCACTATCATGTTTTTCTCTTCTTCTTCATTCTTTTATATCACATTTTACCTGTTTTTATGTTTTGTTTTGTTTTTACGCATTTTTATTATTTGTTTTTATTCTTATTTTACTTGTTTCTTTTATTCTTGTTTATGTAAAGCACTTTGAATTGCCATTGTGTATGAAATGTGCTATATAAATAAACTTGCCTTGCCTTGCCTTGCCTAAATTTACAAGCATATTCGCAATTTTTTTCTGGCACTATGCATAGGTCTACTGTTTTGCAGCAAAATGTTACAAGGTACATTTAGGCATTCTTTTAAAGGCAATGTTCTTGTGAACAGCACAAATGTTTATGCCGTGAAAACTTCAAGATGTATTTGTGTATTTTTCACACCGTTTCAAGTAGTTCAGCTCTTGTGAAATGACATAATGCATAAACCCACGCAGTGATGTGATTTAGTGTACAAGAGCGCCTTCCAGAAACATCCAAGCCGGCGCAAACTCTCCTTGGCACTCAGACAGAGCAGCCCGGACGGTTTAATTATCTCTCCCAGAGCAACTTCCAGCACAGCTTTACTACAGACTCCAGTCAAAGATGTGATAAATCCCCCATTTAACTCATCTAAAATACAAACAAAGATAATGAACTAATCTGGAGGGAAAGAGAAGCTTCACGGTGAAAAAGAAATGAACCATGAAAGCAATCCCACTTGTGCAAACTAAAATATCACTGCACTCTGTCAAATTAATTGGAAAGCAGAATTGATGTAGATAAAAGGTCCAAACATGCAGGTGTGTTCTAAAAAGTTAAAAACAATTCTATGAAATAAAAAAACAATATGCAAAGCTGTGAAGGACAAAACTCTTAAATACATTTTAAAGCTTTTCTTATCGAATATACATATAGAGAGGCGCGCGCACAAACACACACAAACACAAAATTAATATAGGTCTTTTCCATTTTTTTTTTTATTAAGGAGAATATTTGATTTCTAGTAGCATTTTAACGGTTAAAACAACAAATTTTATAATTTGTTTTATACTTAAATGTATCTGTGTAGTAACAAACAATGTAAATGTGTTTGTTAAGTTATTAATCATTGTTCAACATTTACATTATTAACATCCAAATTTATGCTTGTTAACATAAGTTAATGTTGACAATCTGTTTATGCATCAGGTGGGGCTGAGTTAAAAATCCTCTACAATATTTTGAATTTGGACTGCAATAGCTAGTTCAAAATTCAAGCTCCGTGTCATTTGTACATACAACACCTTTACTGGTAATTGTGTGGTACGGATGAGACGTACACTCACCTCCATAGATGTCAAGTTACAGCGGTGAGTTCCTGCAAACCAGCCACTGTTGGAGCACTGGTCGATGTCCACATCCTGGAGATTTACATCCACACGTACCACTCCTCTATAGCACGAGAGAGAGAGAGAGAGAGAGAGAGAGAGAGAGAGAGTTTAATTTTTAATTCCCTAACAAAAATTAGGGAAGTGTAGTTTGTTTTTCTTGATTCATTTAGTCTACAGCAAAAAATAAATAAATAAAATTATACCTTTTGGCCCTGATTCACATTTTTTTTAAAATACAGAATTTAAAAAAGGGCTATATAGTTTGAACATTAATATCGCAATGTGTGTATCCGCAATATTTAGAGCGCATGCCTAGATTGTTTATAGATACTGTATATTTACAGTTTTGTCTGGTTCATGAATCTGATTGGCTGACAGCCGTGCGATATTTTCACCCTTCGCCCTTGTGTATTACTCCACCCACATTCAGCAACAAGCGGAGGAAACTCTAGAGTTTGACAAATATTGCAGCTGTTGGACAACATAATGTACTTTTGAGGCTTTTTTTAGTCAATAATGTTGTCGTCTGGATTGCAACTATGCAGTTTATATATAAGGATAGTGCCTATTTATAAATTCTGAGAAACATCACGTCGGCAGCCATTAAGGCTGATTTATACTTCTGCGTCAAACACGGGCATATGCTTCGGCGCTGACGCATAGCCCTTCACCGTGGCCGTCGCCGTCACTGACATGCACCTCTCAAAAAATGTAACCACACGTCGCAACAACGCGTAGCGCAAGCTCTGTGATTGGTCAGCTTGGTAGCGCTGACGAGTCGGGGCGGGACCGAGAGCTGCACGAATGGCGCGAACCCAATGGAGCGATTGTTTACAAGTGTGGAGTCCCGTGAAGGAGCTCCGGATGGAAAGTTTTGTTTTGTGTTTACCTCATAGTTAAAGTTGTTGCTTGTCCGCCGGTTCCTGCCTCAAAATGAGCGAGTTTGAGCCACTTGTACATCCCGGAAGTGTTCAGGAAAAGCATAAAAGCAGAGAAGAAACTCGACACAGAGGAACATTTACAACTCACTGCCAACTAGCGTTTCGGAAGTATTAATGCAGACCAACAGAGACAGCGCGCAGAAGTATAAATGCACAGCCACGCGCGTTGCATACGCCGTGGGTTACGCCGGTCACTTGACGCAGAAGTATAAATCAGGCTTTAGCCTGTCACTGAGCAGAGCAAAGACGGTGGACGATGTCCATCCACAAGATGGTGACAGAAACTGCATAAACAGCGTAGTTAATAAATACAGCTGATCAAATCATTATTAAACAGGTAAGTGACATTTTAAGTCGATCTCTCTCTTTTGTATTTTGTATTTTGTATTTATACCATAATTGTGTGTGAGAGGGGACTCAGATTAAAGGTCTGCATTCCCAGGGGACCGACCAGATTTCTTGCGGCGCGGGAATAAATTTCAGAATAAATATCTCCTGAGCGAGCAGGCGTATGTATGTGTGTGAATGAGAGAGCGTGATGCTGTGTTTAGCTTGTTTGTTGCTGTCTATGTGTGTGTGCATGTGTGTGAATGAGAGAGAGAGCTTGGTGCTGTGTGTGTCACTCTGTGTCGGTTATGTACAGAAAGAAAGAAGAAATGCCTGCATGTGTTTAGCGTTTTTCCTTATTGCAAACATAACAGTAATCTGGTAGTGTTTGCTTTGCTTTGGCTTTTTCAGAGTAAATTATTGTGATCTCCCAATGGCAATAGAGAAATACTGGGAAATCTCTGTAGATTGATGGCATTTCATGTCGTTCAACCTTATAATCTTAAAATGTGAACAAAATCACCTGTTTTGTCATCACTTTAGACATTAGGCAAGTGAATCATTTAAATACTAGCTCTAAAGTGACGTGAATTAGCAACTGTTTCCAATAGTATGTGGATGCAGACTTTATAATGTAGTCTGAGATTGCATCACTCAGCAATGCAATGTCAGACATAATGCACTCAATTGAGTGAGTGACGTCACTGTGACGGGTAGGGTTAGAAGAAAAGTAGTTCCTCTTACAGAAAGGTTTTTACACTCTCCGTGTTTAAATTTATTTTTTATATACATGATTATGCTGTTGAACTGTTGTATAAACGCAATATCACACGAGTAGCAGTGCGAGATGGCTTTATATCATCACTGTTGGGACACTAAGGCATGCCTCCCACCAGTGCCGATACACAGCCATATCACACTGCTAGTTGTGTAATATTGCTCATATATATTTATCCAATTATGACCAGGTTATTTTATGTTTGATTGTTCAATTTGTATACTTGAAAAGGGTTACACTCCACAGAAAACCATAAAGAACTCTTTATCGAACTTTTATTTTTGCTCTGTCGTATTTATTTTTGCTTGTAATGTATTATATTTTATGCAGATGAACTGCATAGAAAGAGACTTGATCATCCCAGCTAATCTAAATGAATGAAATCTTTCAAAATAGAGCTATTCAAATCATCTGGTGAAATTATATTTATATATCATTATATAGGCGAAGCAGTGGCGCAGAAGGTAGTGCTGTCACCTCACCGCAAGAAGGTCGCTGGACCGCTAGTTCGAACCTTGGCTCAGTTGGTATTTCTGTGTGGAGTTTGCATGCTCCCCCTGCGTTCATGTGGGTTTCCTCCGGGTACTTCGATTTAATTCAGTTACAGGTGAATTAGGTAGGCTAATTTGTCTGTTGTGTGTGTGTGTCTGTGTTTGTATGTGTGTGGATGTTTCCCAGAGATGGGTTGTGGCTGGAAGGGCATCTGCTGCTTAAAAACATGCTGGATGAGTTGGTGGTTCATTCTGCTGTGGCGACCCCAGATTAATAAAGGGACTAAGCCGAAAAGAAAGTGAATGAATATTATTAAATTTCACAGCAAAACAAAATATGGTGATGATTTTTTCTTTGTGCAGACCTAATTTAAAGGATGCAAAGTTCTAAAATTATGTATATATTGCCTCATTAGAAATGATAAAAAACACAGCAGAAATTCCTCTGTTTTACTCATAAATAAAGATCTGTTACAAGGAAATACGTTTCCAATGCATGTACTGAACTGTAGAGGGAAACATCACAGATCAGATGATTAACCATTCTGTTGACTCAAAAATGACTGTTACCATTTTAACAGCAGACAAAAAACCTAAATGATTTCTCTTGGAGAAAAAGTGCCCCCTCAAAATGAATAGAGTATAGCAGTAGAGTATAACTGCATCATACAAAAAAAAAAAACAGTCCTTGTAATCCTATACAGCACACACACACACATACAATAAGAATCTGTTGATTTAAGATTATGAATAAGTTCTAGCTAAAACCCGTTTACACATATGCAGGTACCAAATATAACCTTGCTTTAGCCAAGTGGTTTCCACTGATTGAACCCTGCTAACTGACAAGGGAAAACCGTGATATTCACAGAGTTAGAGATTGAGATTACGTTGTTTCTTCATGCAAAATAGATTTGAGATTTAAATAAATTTGCGCTACTTTATTTTTTGAGTATATATTTTGATTTAGTAAAGGCTGCTCATTTTTGACCATTAGGACAAAAAAAAATACAGAAAAGGTTAAAAAAAAACATTCTTTCATCTTTATGGTCTTATTTTATGACACAATGTTGTGTTTTTGGTTTGGTGGTTTGGTGTTGGATTTTGGTTCGTTTATATCTTTAATCTAATTCACGTTTTTTTAGTAATTATCAGGAAAGAAACAATAACCATTTCAGCTTTTGATCTGCAGGTTTGGCGCACGTCAGAATTTCGATGGTAGCATTTAGTTATTCACACTGTAAAAAATTCAGTTACCTTTAAGTTACCTTCAGTTACCTTTTTTAATTGAAGAGGTTTAAAGATTTTTCAAGATTTAAAGTCTTTTGTGTCTCCAGAATGTCTGTAAAGTTTCAGCTCAGAATTCCCATCAGAATATTTATTATACTTTTTTTTAAATCTTAAGATATTGTAGAAGATATTGTAGCTGTTTTTGTTGTCTGAACCTTTAATGCAAATGAGCTAGTTCTTCCCACCTCAGAGCTGTAGCCTTTACGTAGATAAACAGCACAGTGACAGACAAGAATGAAGCAGATCTGCCTTACTACACTAAGAACTTTCCCAACTGTTATTTATTATATGTGTTGTGGCGTTAATTCAAGCCTTTCTGCAAAGATGAGTCACATGCAATGTCGCTATGTTAATATACAAAATAAACCTGGTTTAAGTCCAAAGCACTGATTGGGGTGACTTCTTTGTAGACTGTTACACTGACATGCAACTGTGATGATGAATTGCAATGATTTTACTGTATTTATTACAAACATGGACTGTTTTAAAAACATTTAAAAATTGTAAAACTCATTCTTGATAACATTTGACAATGATTGATGATCACAGTGAGCTGAACAGATCTTTTAAGCTACGTTGCTTTGCGCGAACGTTCTGTCTTGTTAATATGATTATACGCATTACTACAGAGACATGTTAATACGCATTTGTCAACCAATTTGGTGGGTGGGGAAACTGCACTCCTATGTCACATTGTGGTGGGCCTCAAAATGGTAAGGATTTGAATTCTATTTTAATGCCAGGAGTATTGAAAAAAGATACTTATTGTGTTCATATCACCCCAATATGACTGTGGACACACTTTACCTACACACATTTCTGTCCAAACAGCTTACAAAAAAATATTTTCATAATAGGTGCCCTTTGGGAAAAGTGTTGTTTCACCTCATTTTAAATAAGTAGTTTGAACAAGCAGCAAACATGATTTTTTAGTGCAACAAGCTCACTAGTATAGGTTTAAATAAAACTAAAACTGCCAACTATAAACACACCCTAAATTTTTGAAAAAAGAAAAGCCTGCAAAGACAGAGACAAGAATCTGTTGAATCAGAGCCACAGTAGTTGTCATGGCACTAAGCATTTGTCTTAATGTCAGTTGCCATAAAAAAAAATTATAGAAAAAAAAAACAACACACATGGCTTCAGTTCCATCTGTATGGACTTAAGGAAACTCAGTACCAAAACAGAAATATTATTATCAATGTAAAGTTGAAAAACTAGACTGGTATTGTGT